TTTTTTTTTTTTTTTTTTCTGGAGCTGCTCTTTAGCCCCCACTTTAGGGAACGGGGCAAAATCAAACATTTTCTGGGGTAGAAATTTTACCCCAGAAACTGTCCTGATAAAGAGGGAGGCATTTTTGTTATACCTTGTAACAAAGGTGGAGTTTTGTAAAAATTAAGTTCTCATATTCTCAATAATTTGAAATGGTTATGATTACAGATATTTGTATGTGCTTTGCCTGTTGCATGCATTGATGCTCCTACCCAGGGCACCTCTCTTTTCACCTGGACAAATAAACTATAAATATATATGTACATATATCAACTGGAGATAAATATACCTGTATTTGTCGGTTACCATGCAGTCATATTGAATACTTCTGTTCAATTACAATAATAAAAAAGTCTCCTAACCTCAAAGGAACTATTGATGAAACTCTCATAATATAATTTTTTTGGGAATTTAACCAGTAATGATTCACAGGGTTTATGTTCTGGCATCCAAATTACAATCACAACTCTCTGTATTTCCCTGTATTAGCATGTGTTCAATATTAAAGTTACATAAAAGCTGCTTCCTATGAGTGCTTGCGCTAATCTGGGACAAGCTTTCATTTTTCAAAATCTATAAATGTTGTAAATTTCTGGCCTTGGAATGACATAAATCTTGTTTCAAAGTGTGATCGCTGCTCCGTAATCAAGAGTTATGGCTCTTGAACACTGATTTGTTATCAACTCCCTCTCTCTTCTGTTCCACTCCTCTGCTTTTAAAGTGATTAAATATAAAACTATGTTCTGGTAAAATTAGTCTAAAGTTTGTTATTATTGCTTATATCCTTTTGTGAAGTATAACCACCCTGTCAGGAGGATATTTTTTATAATGGCTCTTATTGCCAAAAATGTACACAAATAAACTGAGTTGAATTGAATGACACATTTGGTTAAATTATGTATTATATTATTATATTACCACTACATCTGCTCAACGTTGGAAGTTGCTTAGTAACCATTTACCCCAAAGGCTGATAAACAGACAAACAATCCTTTTTTCCCCCACTCCTTAGCCTGCAGACTCTGTGTTTAGATGGGAACCACCTAAGCTCACTACCTGAAGAGCTTGGTGATCTGTCTCAGCTCAACAGCCTGGGCCTCTCCTTCAACAACTTCTCTCACGTCCCGACGGTCCTGGAGAAACTGTGTGCAGTGGACAAGCTGGCCATGGCCGGAAACCGAGTGGAGAGCTTGGAGCTGTCCACTCTGGCTCGAATGATCCACCTGAGGAACATCGATCTGCGGTGGGTTGTTTTCTACCTTCCTCCTTTCTCTTGTCAACAGAGGGAATCTCTGTGTGTTCTTCAGATAGTTGTAGTTTTTGCTTCTTTTTAACTTTCTTTTCAAATTGTGGATAGAAAAGGGAACATTCTGTCACAAACTCCAGCCAGCTGAACTTCAGCTGCTCCTGTGTTCTTCACAACTCCTCCAAGCCTCTTTTTTTAAACTAATATTTATTTATAGATGCCAGATGTGCTGTGAACAAATGCCTTTTACTGCATTGCCCTATTTCACGCCTACATTCACACCTGGGAGCTGCCAACCACAGTCATGTTTTTTTTTTTTTTTTTTGCTGCTATTCAGCATCCTGCTGTTCTGCACATAAACAGTGGGACACTAAGCACTTTGCTCACCAGGACCTCTGAGGCAGGTAATAAAGGAGATGAAAGCTGTTCTCAATGAATATCCTGCAGCTCTGGAGATTAAGCCAGCAACCTGCACTCCAGCGGCTGCCAGATAATGACCTGACCTTGGGGCTTGAGGTGTGGCTCAACCTCAGCAGGCTGCATTTATAAGGACTAAGGTGCATCTGTGATGGATTAGTTGGCTTGCAGCTCTTATAAAAGACATGTTATTGGGTAACACTTTATTTGAAGGGGGGTGAATAAGACTGACATGACACTGTCATAAACATGACATAACACCTGTCATGAACATGAATAAGCCTTCATGAATATTTATGACTGTTGTCATAAATATTCATGAAGACTTATTCATGTTCATGACAGGTGTTATGTCATGTTTATGACAGTGTCAGGTCAGTCTTATTCAACCCCCTTCAAATAAAGTGTTACCGGTTATTGTTTGTGAATATGAATTATGTGATCTACCTGGAGCAGGGGGTGTCGAACTCATTTTCATTTTGGGCCGTATCAAAAATCTGAATGTTCTTAAAGGGCCGGTGTTGCCAGAATGTTTTGATAAAACCCATTAAGCTGTTAAAATGTCAGTAAATAGCTGTTTGTATCAGTTTTCAACAAGCATTTCTTAAAATTTGATAATGTTGATCAGCTTTTCACACTGATCAGTCCATCCAGGATTTTATGTTTTTTTGTTTTGTTTTTCTTTGCAATCAAAATCACACATTTTGTGGCGCTAGTTTAGAAATGTCTGTAAGGAATTTTTATGATATTTTCACTAATGTATGAGGCTAAATGTAACTTTTTATTACTCGCCGTATCGACCACGGACTCTAGATTAACATCAAGTAAGGAAGAGGCAGCAGTCACTTCAATGTTTTCGGCCAATTTTAAGAAACATTCGCAGGATCTGTTGATTTTGTATGAATTTTGCAGATTTGTGGAAAAGCTGGAGGGACTAGTAGTTGATGTAACTTGGAGTCGAAAGGGCCACATAAAAAGCTACGGTGGTCCAGATTTGGCCACCGAGCCTCGAGTTTGACACATGTGACCTAGAGCCCTGATCAGACCACAGTGCATCATCACCTGGCAGTCATGTACCCTGAAATTCTCCTACCTGTTTATCTGGACTGATAAAGTCATAACACCAAAACAGCTTTGCAGAAGTCACAGTTATGTGGTTCAGTTGCTTCTATTATTCAGCTCTGTTTTGCAAAGTTGTTGTGTTATTTTACAACAACTGCTGTGTTCCTGCAGACATGTTAAGGCTTCCCTTTGTTTTCATCATTCAGTTTGCTCTGTTATTTGCAGGTTGAACGGACTCAGGTGTGTTAAATGTGAGACTCCAGAGCCAGTGAGCCACGTGACGCAGCTGGACTTGCGCGATAATTGCTTGGACTCGCTCGACCTGAGCACCGTCTGCAACCTGGAGACTCTGCACTGCCAGCGGAACCAGCTGGGGACTCTCACACTCAGCGGTTTCTCACTGCGCATGCTTCATGCCGGCAGCAATCGTGAGTGAAACGGAGCGTCAACTGGCTGCTATTATTACCCCCGCCCCCCCTGTGTGGCCCTTTTGCTCTGATGATGCATTCAATTTACCAACCCACAAGAGACAGAAACGATGCAGATGTTTCACTGATGATGATCGGTGCCTTTGTCTTCCTGCAGGCCTCACAACAGTCAACGTCTATCCAGTCCCGAACCAGCTCACACACATGGACCTTTCACAGTGAGTTCTGCACAGGAATAAGAAGTGGATGTGGAGCCACAGAGATTTTCTTATATTCCATAAAAATAAAGTATTTTCTTATGCTTTTTGTTAATGGTGTGACCCACAGCATGTGTGGGTAAAATTATGTTGCAGACAATATTCAGTGAATATTTTTGAATTTATAGTTTCACTCCAAAAAATCAGACTGTTGAAATATTACTCAGGCTTCTTTGCTTTTTCTATTTGTTTTATTGACTGATTCTGTTTCACATGCTTTTTCTATGTTCATAAACTTTAATAATGTGTTTTGAAATCTGGGTCTATTAGAACAAGACCAGACGTAAAAGTAATTGATACCGACACAATGTTTCATCATGACTGGATGTTAGCAGTTCATAGGATCTTTAATATGAAACTATGCAACTGTTGCTCATTTTTCAAATTTCACAGTAATTTATTCTGCTAAGTACATGCAGCCCATTGGCATGAACAGCATATTATGCTTATATAGCAACATTACAAGCATAATAAATGGTTATTCCTGTTTCAAGCAGGTTAATATTTTCAACATTTTTGTGCACTCAAAATTGATACATAGAGCAAATATCATAAATATGCACCCCAAATTATCATTATTCTTAGACTTGATGTATAATATATTATTTGTAAACTATTATTTATGGAGAACATTTCTGTTCCAGTTATTATAGAGCCATACATACTTACAGGTTTAAGTATATATGGCTAAAGGTGCCAAGTAAATAGGATTCACAAAGAAAAAAGTATTAAAAATAAAAGTGACATGTATGAAAGCCCATTTTTGTCTCTTGAAAGAAAAAAAAATGAAGCAAGACCTCATTCTTATGAGACGTAAAGTTATATATTTAATTTACTGAATGTGTGGAAGAATTAAATTTTTTGAAAGTCACATTATTCACTTAGTGTGTCATCATTCTGACTTTCTTTACCTTCATTTCTCATGCCAATGTAATGTACTCCTTTTGTGTTTTCAACATGTAAAGCACTTTAAATATCTTGTTTCTACAAATAAACTTAACTTGCCTGAACACAAAGCTACTAACTTTAAAGCTCATAACTATGAAAAGTGTAAATTAGATCTTTGAAACTCCTTATTATGACATATCCCGCTTCATTTGTTTTCTTTTAAATGATAGAAATGCGCTTCCAGTTTATTTCCAACTTAAGTATTTAATTAAGACAAATAAGGCAAAAAAAAATGTATCTGTAGCTTCACTTTCAACTTTGACTTTAATTTGATTCATTGAGTTAAAATGATGAATTGTATCTACATTGCTTTGTAAGATGTTGAATTATTTGTATCTGTTTTTTCCACCTCATCAATTAAGGCGGGATTTGAGATTAATTGTTTTTCTGCCGTTAAAGAATTATTGCGGTATCAGAAACGCAGTAATGCTGAATAATTGCCAGATAGAGGAGGCTTAAGCTGTATTTGGAGAAGGGACAGTCAGATAATCCCCCCAAAAAATCCAGGTGGAATAAATCAGAACACCAGCTTTGCTCAGTCTGAGTGTTTGTCTTTCTGTTTTATGTGTGTTGAGACAGGAACCTGTTGGAATACCTTCCAGCCTGGGTGTGTGACTGTCGGAAAATCGAGATACTGGACCTTCAGCACAACCTGTTGTTTGAACTGCCTTCCAGGTTTGATTTTTTTTTTTTTTTTCAAATCAGGAATCATTAACTTTTACTGCTCATATCATTTCATAAGTTTATTCATTTAGTTTTTGTACGTAATTTAACACGCAACTGGAATTTATATGCACATCAGGCGTTGCGTTGCATACATTCCTCTTTTTTTCCCCTTGTATATTTAACTTGGATAAATTTAGTGTGTTAATGTGTAACACAGTATCTTGCATAAGTATTCATCCCCTGAGACTTTGTTCACATTTTCTTCATGTTACATTCACAGACATCTGCATATGTGAAAGACCAGCATAAAGTAGTGCATAATGGTAAAGTGGATGGACATGGATACTTTAGTTTTTTGGGGGTTTTTATCATATAAAATTCTCAAACATGTGGCATTTTAGCTTATTTTAAACTGATAACTCTTTGCAAAATAAAACCCAGTGCCTCCAGAGGTCACCTAGTTAATAAAGTCCACCTCTGTGCTGCTGAACATCAGTATAAATGCAGATGTTGTGTGAAAGCCTCAAATTTTTTTGTCAGGGAACATTAGAGAACAAACAGCATCATGAAGACACAGAAGACAGGTCATAAACTAAGATGTGACAAAGCGTTATAAATTTTGCAAGGCACTGTATTTGCTTCAATGTTCTTCATGGAGCGCCGCAATTGCAATTGTTGACCTTTGTAGCTTAGAAAAAGCCGAATCATGCCCGGCTGCGAATTCAGTGATGAACGTTCGGTGTCTGCAGCTGGATATGTATTTGTCCTGATTTCTCTCTGTAACGTCTCCAACAGGTTGCTGAACAGCTTAAGTTTGAGGAAGCTGCTGACGGGGAACAACCGTTTGCAGAGAGTGCCTGACCTACTTGACCATATTCCTCTGGAAGCCCTTGACCTGCAGCATAACAAGCTCAGCGAACTTCCAGAGGGTCTCTTTTACAAGGCCTTAAAGTTAGTCTTCTAACCTTTTAAAGAGGGTGTTTGCCCTGAACTCTTTATATGATGGCATTATGACCCTTCGCCCACAGGTTCCTCTGCTTTACTACTTCTTACTGGCAGTCTGTGTTTCTGTGAACGGTTACCGTAAAGCAGCACCGTATAGATTTGTTGGAGCAAATGTGGTCAAGATCAATGCAGCTTTCCCAACCATAACTGGAGCATCTTTTGCTTCCTTATTTCCGATGTGGTAAACCACTTAACACCCATTAGCTGTTGAGTTGCCCTGATGCTCTTTACTGTTATGGCAGTGACTTCTGAAAAGAAATTGATCTCCTGACATGCTGTCGAGAACTGCAGAACACGCAGTGAACTGCAGCTGCAATCAGGACTGACGGCGGCATGAAATGCAACAGAAACCGAAAAGGTTATCGCCGTTTGTTTTACCTGCCTTCCTTTGTGTAGTAAAAAGCCACACAGATAGCGAGATCTTAACAGGCTTTTAGTGTTTATGAGCTTCTCCTCAGCAAAGACCGTTTAAAAAAACATGACAAGGTTCACATTTTACTGCATCAAGTTTTATTGCTGCTCTGTGTGTGATACACCACCAGTAATGACTTAATTACTCCTGTTACGTAAGATCTACTGCAGTTCAAATTACTGCCGCCCTTCACTGTGCAGCTTAATGAATATTCAAATCAGTCCTCCACTTGCTAGGATGTTTACCTCTGTGATTAACTATATCTTCTGCAGCGCATTTAGGGAAATAAAAAGGAAATTATCAAACCTGGCGGCCATTTATACATCTGTCACTTTTATTTTGCTGGATTTTGTACTTGGTCATAACTTTTATTAGTTGTTAAACGATTTAATATACTGTATCGAATAAAAATATTAAAGCATATACTTCATGATATAAATCCAAAGTTGAGTCCTTATTTATTCAGAGCCATAGCAGATTTTGATTTAGAAAGATTTAATTTAACCAAGTTAGTTTCTAATATGAAATTAGAAAAAGAAATGCATAAATCAAAAGACAGGAAAACATAATAAAAAGAATATACATTTTTCAAAATTCTATAATTTTTTATGCAAAGTTTATTTTAAACATTGGTATGTCACAAAATTATGAATACCTAATAGCAAATTTTTGCTATTAGGTATTCACGTCTCACAATTGCTGATCGGTTTTTTGTTTGTTTCCCCTTGTTAATCTTTGGTAATGAACTCTGAGTCTTTCAGGTTAGAAGGCCTCCTGACCATCGCCCTAATGTTTAGCTCCATCCACAGATTCTGCATCAGACTCGAGTTTTGACTCCTGCTGAGTCACTCCAAAAATATTAATATCGCCTCCAGTCAGAAGAAAGATGGTGTGAAAACAAAAATACTGTAAATCTTTGTGAGTCAATGAAACAAATAGACACACGTACCAAAGTATTAAATTACTCGTTAGTGTAGCATCTGAATAAATGATGTTATGTTTGCAGAGCTTTTGGATTGCAGTGAAATATCAGTGGAAGAAGTAGCAGATCAGACCCAGATTAGGTTTTTCTGTTTTTCTTACTTTTGTTTTTTTTTTTTTTTGTCTTCCTAGCCTGAAATACTTAAATGTGTCAGCCAACGCCTTGGAAAGCATTCCCCCCAGCAGCCAATCAGAGGAGAGCCTCAGCACCCTCCAGGAGCTCTACCTGACCGGGAACAATCTGAACGAGAACTGCGGCGCTCTGTTGGTCGGACACCAGAACCTGCGGATCCTTCACATCGCCTACAACCAGCTGCTCTCCTTCCCAGCCAGGTGTGTTTGCCGCCTATCACAGCTAACTGAGGTCACAAACGGCTGCCATTTTTGTTACTAGTCCTTAAAAGTCTTCACCATTAATTGTGATCAACCAATGGTTTATATTTGATTGTGTATTTCTCCTGTTTCCAGTAAGCTGAGTAAACTGGAACTGCTGGAGGAGCTAAATTTAAGTGGGAACAAGCTGAAGACGATCCCCTCCACGGTGTCCAGCTGTAAGCGGCTGCACACTCTCATCGCACACTCGAATCAAATAACCGTCTTCCCAGAAATCCTCAACCTGCCTGAGATCAAGGTCAGACCCGTTTCCTCTGTTGTTTTTACCATTTCAGATTTCAGATGGTCGTCCTCAGTGTGCTCCAGCTCACATGTGCTTTTGAATGTTTTTTTACGCGCAGCTTGTAGATCTAAGCTGCAATGAGCTGACTGAGATCCAGCTACCCGACTCTCTGCCTGCCACACTGCAAGAGCTGGACTTGACGGGCAACAGCAGCCTGACGCTGGAACACAAAACCCTCAATCTGTTCAGGTGAGTCACGGCATCCGGAGCGGCCGGCGGCATTTTCCCCGTTTTAAAAGCCTGAATTTAAACACTTTGGATTCTGCAGCCTTGAGGCGCAAAAACGTAAAACCAAAATGGGTAACGGTTCTGGAAAATGAAAAAATGAGGAAGGGACATTTCTCAGAAATCACACATTTGAAGAGTAAAACAAAAAAGCAACACAAAGAAATAAAGCGAAACTCCAAACAAATTTTTTTATGCATTCATTACACACCTTGTTCTGCAGCGTTTCCTGTTATTTTCTCCTTTTCTCCCCCTGCAGCCACATTACCACGCTGAAATTAGACCAGAAATCTGCCGCGACACCCGGAGACTCCCTGGGCTCCTCGACTCTCTGGAAGCACGGTTACTCCGAGATGAGAGGCCAAAGAAATAAGTGTGTTCTTCTTTTGCTTTTCCAAGATTTGTTTTATTTGCAGGGAAGGATAGGCAATTACTTTTTGTAGACTTCATTTATCATAACAGAAACTAAATAAATTATACCACTAAATCTGCTTTAGTGAAGGATGCGAGTGCAGATGCAAATATTGTTGCTCCTCATTAAGTCTGTATTTGTCGAGCTTTATCGTTTTTCCCTTGTGAAGTACCAAAATATAAATCGATTCCTGATTTGGTGCATTGGATATAATGTACGACACTGAACAAAATTTATAAAATAAGTTCTAATTTTCTTTTTATCAAGGAGTCACTCCTTTTTTTGTAATTTTTATCTTTATTGACTCGTATTTTTTCTTTTTTTGTCCAGTTTTAGAACAAGGAGAGTTACTGCCAAATGTCTGAAGTTTACGGAGTCACTGTGTCACTGTTTTGATGAGGTGAATCTGCTTGTGTGGAACAGGTTGTGTGTTTCCGTGCTTGCCGTGGACCGTTTTGGAGACGGTGGCGAAGGTTGTTACGGGATCTTCGATGGCGACCGCAACGAGGAAGTGCCGCGCCTCCTGCAGTGCACCATGGGAGACGTGCTTTGCGAAGAACTCCAGCACTCCTGTGTCGACACAGTGTACATGTGCAACACCTTTCTCACCTCACACAGGTAAGACAAGCAATCTGTTTATTGTGTTTGCTGTTTATCAGAACACTTTATTTCTAGTTTCTTTCCTGCTGAACAGGAAACTTGGCATGGCCGGACAGAAACTCGGTGCGTCTGCCTTGTTGTGCTACATTCACCGTGAGACGTCGGAGCCCGGGAGCGGCTTCAGCCTAACTGTGGCTAACGTCGGTACATGCCAGGCCATTCTGTGCCGTGATGGACGGCCTGTCCAGCTCTCTAAGGTTTTCAGCTTGGAGAACTCCACAGAAGAGATGGAGAGGGTTAAAGTCAATAAAGCCATTATAACAGAGGTAATGCTCACGCTAAAATGTGATAGACATAGATTCTATGTGTAAAGATGCTACGCAACGTTTCTTTGGCACCATCTCTTTTCTAGGACAACAAAGTGAGTGGAGTGACGTGCTGCTCTCGCCTATTGGGCTGTTCCTATCTGTCTCCTTGGGTGCTTCCAAAGCCCTGGGTGTGCACTGAGCCGCTCTGTGCCAAGGATGAGTTCCTGATCCTGGGGAACCGGGCCCTTTTCGAGCGCGTGTCCTATCAGGAGGCCGTGTACACCGTGCAGGCCGTGCGGGATCCACATGCCGCCGCCAAGAAACTGTGCTCCCTTGCCCAGAGCTACGGCTGCAAGGACAACATCGGAGCTGCGGTGGTGTCACTGCGTGTCAGTGAGGACAGCTGCACTTGTGAGCCGCCGGTGTTGAACGATGAACTGCGGGGTCCGACCCCGGCCCCTGTGCCGGTGTCCGTGACTCCATGCCCCAGTGATCCAGGAAACATCTCGTCTAGCAGCGGCATTGGCACCGAGTTCAGCAGCGAGACGTCGGCCTCGGAGGTGGGCAGCGAGGCAGGGTCCACCGCTTCGGATGAGCACCCGTCCTCTGGCCCTGCGACTCGCCCAGAGAGGCGCTGCAGCCTCCACCCGGCTCCTGCGCTCTGCGGGATCATGGTGCAGGGTCCAGCTCCGACGAGAACTCACCCCGGTGTTTTCCAGCGCCAGCCCTCCAGTGCCACTTTCTCAAGCAACCAGTCTGACAACGGCTTGGACAGCGATGACGAAGCTCCACTTGAGGGTGTCATCTCTAACGGTAGCAAGTTGGAGGTGGAGGTAGACATTCACTGCTGTGCTTTCCAGCTCCGGCCGGGGGCCCCCGAGAGCCCGAAGGAGCTGAATCTGGAAAATCGCAACGGTAAAATGCGCAGACAGAACAGCGTGGTGGTTTCTGCTACAAACGGCTGTCTGCTGGCCGTATGTGGTAGAGAGAACGGAGACCTCAAGAAGTCACCTTCCACCTCCAGCCTGTTCGGTAAGAAACTGTCCAATGGTTCTGTGGTGGCCCCGGAAGACAGTCATAATATCATTGAGGTTGCCCTGGAGGCGCCAAAGAAAAAATCAGGCTACTTCACGGCCCCGGCTCAGCAGGACCCGGAGGACCAGCTAATTGTGCCCCCCGGTCTTGAGCAGGAGGTCAGAGAGCAGCTGAAAGGCCAGAGCCTTCTTGTCTCAGGCATCTCCACACCGCCAACCCCGGTGAAAGATCCACCGTGGGATCAACCACACCCTCCTGCATTTGCCTCCACCTTAGTTCCAGGGCCGGGCCTCGCTCCCGTCCTGCAGCAGGAAGTCTACGATACCGCCCTCTAGGACGCTGAGACGGCCGTTTGGCTTCAGTTTGGATTGTGCCATTCTTGAGATGTAGGACTGTCTCCTACAGCTAGTTTAGTTGGAAGAAGACGCCATTTGAAAAAAATGTTGAGAAGACAAGAAAAGCCTTTAGAACTCTGTTAAAAACTGATACTGTGCCATTAAAGAGAGATAAGCAGAACATGCTCTGAGTATCCGCCACAATAGGGCTGAACAAGATTTCCACACGTCCAACATGTCAACAGCATTTCCCTTTACTTGGAAAGTTAAGCAATCTGATGGATACAGAAAAGATTGTGGTCAGTCTCCCCACCAGGAACCCAAAGGTGTCTCAGGTCCTGCAGAGATCGATTTGTGCCGAAGCTTGAAAAAGTGCCTAAAACGGACGACACATGAGAGAGCTCAACGCATCCAGGTTAGGAGTTGGGATGAGAGTTTGTTTCAGTTATATTCAGACAGGACACGGTCTTTACGAACACTCGATGTCCACGGACACCTTTCTTACGGCTACTGAAGCTTGGCCCGTTGTTGTCCTTATTTAACGCAGACAAATATGTTGAAAACTTGAGTTTTTATCCCATAATCCCATCAGAATTCAGCCTAAAAAAAAGTCCAGCTTTGCTCAACCCCAAACAACTTCCAACTACATTCAAACGTTTTCAAGTGGATGTCTTTTCACCATTAACTTTTCAACCACAAGTTCGTGACGTTTAAGCAGAAAACGATGCTATAGTTTCCACGTCTCTTCAGTGAAAGTTTTCTTGTGGGATAATGCTAGCAGATACGACTCTCCTCTCTTACGCAAAGAGAACTAGGGTTAATCTCTTTACCCAAAAGGTACGTTTTAAAGGTTATTATTAGTATGGTATTTTGTTTGATTTTTAAAGAGAGAAATCTCATTCCTGACCCAAAGGCCACATATCATACCTCTAGATCTGGAAGTCAACTTTAAAAAAAAAAAAAAGAAAAAAGAACCGAAAGAACTTAAGATGTCATCAACATGTAAAGACAAGAATAACTGCCTTTATGTTGTTCAAATTATTAATTTGGGTTTTATTTGTTTAGAATCTGACAAACTGGATGAATCATTGTAGAAAACACTCTTGAGGGAAAAGCTTTGAGTGCACTGCGGACCTCTTATGAGCCGTTTGACATGAAGATATTCAGCTCTGGTGGGCTGAAGTGGGAGTGACAGCAGAATAATCAGTGAAGATGAATCTCCATAAAAGCTGCATTTCAGAGAAGAAGAACAAATATTTTTGAGTTTTGGCATTTTGAACACATTCTGATTGATTTGAACAAATCAGTCAGATGGCAGTTGAGTATAAAATGATGTTTTATCTATCTTCTTATTTAAAGTCTCTTTTTATGTGTAGACAGATTATTCTTATTTATTAATATTTGAGGCTGCTGATATTAGTCATGTTATACAGCGATGCTGTGAACAAACTTGTCATCTCCTTGTCATTTTCTCACATTTACTCCATGCGTTGATTTTTTCCCCCCCTCTATTTTTCTGCTTGTTCTGTCAAATGTTGGACTTGGAAGCTGCTTTGCCAAACTGTGGTGAGAGGAAATTTGTCAGGACAAGCTGAATGTAAGAAATCAATCATAGCTGAATGTGAAACTTGTAACTCAGACACTTGACTTTACCTGAACAACATTAATCAGAACAAATATCTTTGGTAAAGAAAATTCGAACAATGTTCAAAGTATTAATTCCAAGCTTTCAGAAATTTTTGAAGATTAAATCTTAGAAATAGAGGTTTGTCGAGATGTCATTTGAAATTGTTATTTTTTTTTTCTACATACATTTATGTGAGGTATTGTTTTTTTAAATCATTGGTTAATGCGCCTTTAGATGTCAGAAAACACAACCAAAAAATACAAGCGTAAAAATATGCGGTACTTGACGCCACAAGGACTTTCTTATTAAGTTGGTCACTCAGAATATAGAATCATTTCTTCCCCCCTTCAAAGCTTTAGCATCATGTATCATGATAATATCGTGCACACAGAGCCCTCAGCAGTTATTGGCACCTAGTAAATGGTAACTGGTCCTTTATCGAGTCCAGAGGACCCCAAAGTACTGACTTCACACTACATTCAGTAGAAGCCTAACTTCAAAATATTATTACTTAAGAAGTAAAAGACTACTAGTTAAATCGAGTAACTCTGATCTACTTAAAAAAAAAGAGATACATATGGATTTAACAAGTCTCAGTTAGGTGTAAGAATTGCCGGGGTTCCCATTAAGTGTCGCCCTGGTAGTTTTGCATAAAGCAATTATTTCTTACGGTATTTGACTCCACAGGATAGATGCACTAAGCTGGAGGTTGGATTTCTCCATTTTCTGTTTGATATTTGCTAGTGGAATAAAAGATTTTTATTTATGATGATATTTACCTTCAGTGCCAGAAAATCCTGAGGTTGCTGTACCCATGGGTATAAACCATAACTGTATTTATGATACCTAAATTATTAGGGGAAACTCGGTATCGTACTGCCCTAGAAACCTCACTTTATCCAGCTCCGAATGCCTCCAACGTGTTCAGCTGGACTTCTGTGGTTAGAAGTAGTCCAGTGTTTGCTGTTGGCGGTTATTATTGTGTTAGTTTCACAATTTTCCTTCTACTTTGACCCCAATTTCAGTAGTTTTGGAATTTCACGTGTTTTTAGCTGGAGCTATAATGTTTTTGCCTTAAATCTCCTCTAAACACTCTTTAAAAGGAGAAGTCCTTTGAGTTGTCCGTCTCTATTCTGTTTTCCTAAGAATCATCTTTAAAGGCCAGCTCATACTATAAAACGAAAAATCTGAGAAATTAGTTTCTTTTGCATATGTAAGAAAAAAAGTCCTTGCCAGATGCTGTTTCAAGGACAAACTACAAGAACGTCGGTCCTGGGGTGATTTTTATTTTTTATTTTTTTCTGTTTTCCAGAGCATGTGTAGGCCTTAAGTGTGAGGAATCCTCAGTTTCTTGCTTGCCAAGTTGTTGTACCTTCAACTAAAGTAACTCTGCTATGAGCACTTTGTACAAAAAAAAAAATTAAATCTGCTGTCACGTGTGTTACACTTAATGTTTAACAGTTTAACAACAGGTCCCTCAGTCACACACAACATTACTTGTAAAGGAAACCACTGACAGTAAAGCGGAAGGTAGTCGAAAGTAATATCACCAAACGAACGGTAGTTTTTGTTGTGCTTGTCACATTTATTTACAAAGCTTGTTTGTGTCTGTTTCCTTGCAATCACACATCATTTTTATGCTGTCTTTAACTTATTTTTTATCATTTTCACAAATCAGACTGAACATATTCTGTTGCTTATATTCATGGCTAAGACTTGATCAAAAAATGTTGAGCTTGTTTGTTTTCTCTATATCAAAATCTCCCTAAAATATAATACAAAAAAAGTATAGCTTCACATTGTATCATGCATATTATCAAAGCCCGTGAATTATTTTTCTAAAGTTATAAAAAGTACAGATTTTACCTACAGAGCACTTTGCTAAAGCTAGTAATGAATTCTTGTCACTTTATCGACCTGTGTCTGAGCTGCCAAACACGTGGGTCTCTGTGGTTCCGACGTCCACGATGCATCTGGCGTCTGGCCCGAAGTCAGCGAGACGTTCGCGGACGCTGCAGACATTCTGAGACAGATTATGATTGTGCGAGTCAACAGAGGAGAGCTTGAACTTTCCCAGAGGTTTCACTAAATGGTGTGATCTTTTGAGTTCTCTTGTAAAATATGCAACATGTCAAGTGTAAATATAAATGTGATGAGACTGACACTTTGCCGCCCGAAACCACATAAGTCCTGTCACTTAAAATGTCTTAATATCGAGTGCTGTGCGTGTGTATGATGTCGTCGGGGTTGTGTTTATATGTCTCACTGAGCATTTTTTTTGTGAGTCTGCCCCGTCCATTTGACCTGCTGTCTTTTGTGGTTTGTTGCCGGTCCAAAAATGAATATGACATTTCTCTGTAGTGTTCTCCAAACTAACTAAACCCATTTTTGACATCATTTGACCCTCTTAGACTGTTGCCATCTCCTTCCTGTATGATGCCATATTATCCTCAGCTGTGTTTTTTTTTTTCAAGCTTCAAGTATGTCTTATTTTTGATGAGGCAGTCGTTGTGCACTGAAATCTGTCTGGAACTGGATGCACAGAAACAGGAAGAGGGAGGTGTTGAAGAATGTGCTTTGGTTCAAAACACTTGGCACAATACTCCTTAAACATTCCTAAGAAGAGTGAATTCACATTAAAGCAGACTGCATTGTTTTTTCTCGTGATTCGTTCATTTGGAGTAGTACTTCCTCTTTGCACATCTAAACAAGCTTGCAGAAGTATCTGTGTTTCTGTGTAGTGTGAAGTGCATGCATGCCTGTGTGACCAATGGTTTGACTGTAACTCTGTGTGAACTGTGAACGAAACCGATCAGAGGCGCTCCAACTGTATAACACGTGACCAAAGTAGCCACTGTCTAATGTCATGTTTCCTTTCTGCAGATTGTTTTTTTTTTAAATGCTTGATTTTTATTTTTATTTTCTCGATGCCAAGAAGCTTGATGTTTATTTTTGTACTTCATTGTATCAAGCAAATTTCTATCACCCTCTTGCTACAGAATTGAAAACTATAGGGATTCCTCAGAAAACTGTCACTCGTTAGGGCACCATTGAGGGTACTAACTGTAACTGTATTTCATACTGGAAGCATGTGCTAAACACAAAGTCAACTGAGAAACATGTATATACAAAATATGGTTTATTTGTATAAAATGAAGCATATCCAATATATTTTTTTCTAGCATGCTGATTGCTGCTAAAAATTTATGTTGAGTAATGAACAATAACATTGTTTAGGAATGGAGCTAACAAAGAGCACTTTTGCTGTTTTTCAGAGACTTATGCTCATATGAACCTTCTGTGAAATAAAAGATAATCATTTTTTATTTCAGATGCTGCTATTATTATTTTCAGTTTTTAATGATATTTTTTTTTTTGGGGGGGGGTTTCAATTAACTTTAAGCCAAGTAGCAATAAAACTTTTTACTGTGAATGGTTTTGTCCAGCTTCATTTTGATGACCATGTTTATGATCATTTTTAGTTGCTCTACACGAGTCAGTCAAAAATGTCTATTTGAAGACAAATATCAAATGTCTAAAACATAAGGAATAAAAGGGCAGGATGGTTTGTATATGTGTATTCTTGTGCTTATATATCAATTTATAATTGATATAATTGAGTTTATCACCAAAACACAGCATTTTAGACAAAAAAATATATATTTTTTTGCTGTACAAACAGTGGTTTAGCAGTTTAACCTCACACATCTAATGTATCTGTTAGCTTAAGTTAAAGGCTTTTATCTCTACAAGCCACATGTAACTAGGCTTTAGATTTCTGCATGTTTTTATTGCTTAGGTTCATAAAGTACATGCCACCTACTGGAGAAGCTTAGAATTGCAACCTTCAGTCTACCAAAGATTTAAAGACTCACTGTTATAAATGTGAATCAAATCAACAAAGCTACACATAAAACTTCTTGTGTAAATATTTTCAAACCACCAGAGTAGCTCTTTGCATTGTTAAGATCTCAAGATAAGGTTAAAAAGGTTGTTTTATGTCAAAAGAGAAGCAATCCTAATATTCCTAAAAAGTATTTTATCCGTTTAGGGTTAGGGTGACTCTAACTTGTTTTTCAATTACCTCTTTTTCCATGCCAAAAAATGAAATTGTATGTACACTCATCTGGCTGTTTATTATGACATTTACAAAAAAAATAAGAAAAGAGCATCAAGAATAAAAAAAAGTATTCCAACTAATATAAAGAAATTAAGTACATAAAAAGACTTAATGGAAATCCCTTCCAATCTGTTAAACATTTTCTCTAATATGAGTAAGAAAAGCATGCTTAAAAATAATTGTCCTCGTTTGTTCTTTCATTCTTCTGCTCTCGCATTGATCTGAAGGCTCTGACTGCCAGCACCCCACCAAAGATGAAAACAAAAGACCCTGCCACTCCAAACAATCCTCCTGCGATGTCTGCACCATTAAAGCTGCACTCAAAGCCCTTGTGTCCTTTGCTCTTGTACATCTGCTCCCTCTCCTGACAGATGGGGTTTTGGTAGGTTTCCTGTATTTTAATAAAGTAGAAAGCCAACCCAGCGATGTAACCTAAACCAATCAGAAAATTCACAACGGCCTCCACAAGCAGCGCAATGGGCCAGCGGTAGGTGACCCTGAAGACCCCCAGGCCAAACATGACACAGGCGTATGCCATCAAAATCCCACCGCAGGCCATTGCATAGACATACGGAGGCCGCTTGAGCTGGTGGAAGAGGCGGTCCAGCTCCTTGACTCTGTCTGCATCGGCTCCAGTGAAGGCGCTGGCACCTCCAAAGTAATAAGCGTAGATTCCTCCGAGGCTGGCCAGGTCGCGGTAGCCCCCGTTGTTGCTGTACGGCACTCCGGCGCAGATTATGATAAGGAGATTCACAGAGATCTCCATGAGCTGGCAGATGCCTGAGAGACATGCAACAGAGAGCAGCGAGATCACAGTTTTGACTCCGACCTCCGTGTGGCTTCAAAAGTTAATACATTTACAGCAAAAATGTCAGATTTCCAGATCTTTTCTCTGACGAAAGATCTTTGCCTCACTGGAAAATTTGACTTTGACTGAAATCCAATGAAAATCTAATCAGTTTTGATGCAGTTTAGGAGTCTGCATTTAAGAACATCCTGTAAATATTAAATGTAAACATACTGAAAAGTAACACAATAATGTGGGGCATCATTCATTACAGTTTTGTAATGAATGAATGAATTACTACACAGTAATATATAGAAATATTGAACTATAACAAGCTTGAGCGTCACAGAAGAACCTCAAAGGGAACATACTTACCTCTAGAGGTCAGCATGTACCTTAAATTGTACATGGCTTCTCTGTGCTGTTGTTGATAAACCTCATGGTGATACACTGATGTTTCTCTGGGCCTTCAAAGACAACACCATTTTATTTAGAGATGTACCATGACCTTCACTGCGATGTAAAACAAAAAAAAAAGTCAAGCCTTCATCAAGTTTTCTTACAGTGTTGAGGGCCTTTCATGAGCAATGTATGCAGCTGACCCCTTATGACCCGTTGTCACGTCTCTCTTTCTGTTCTCTTTGGTTCTTCTGTCACTGCTGAACCACTCCTCCACGCCTCCTGGGTTTTGGCTGCGTCTCTGGGTATCGTACAGAGAGTGCTGTCCCCTGTGTGAGTAATCCCTGCTCTTGTACTCTGCGGACACATCACTCCTCTGATGGTGTCTTCCCCTGTCTGGCATCTCCTTTTACCTGCTGAAGAAGATTATGGACATGAATCCTATTACAGACTCCAATAAACGGAGTGGATGGTCGGCTTGTGCACAAAGAAGAAGCTTGCAAGACACAACAAGCAGCAAAGCAGTGAGGTGGAATATCTACAGTCAAAGCCCTGCCACAGACTGGCGACCTGTCCAGGGCGTGCACCGCCTCTCGCCCGAAATATCTCGCTGGAGAGAGGCACCGCCCTCCCGACCCTACTAGGGACAAGCGTGTAAGAAGATGGATGGATGAATGAATCTACAGTTAAAACCAAATGTATAAAAACTTTAACATTTTTTCCTCACTAATTTACAATAAGTCTAAATGTTTTCTGGATCGGGTCAGGTAGGATTACCAAAAAAGATTTATTTGCCTGATGCCAGCATAATGACAAGAGATGTCCCTGGATTTTGTGAAGCATTGACTTTAAACTTTATTGTTTGGCTATATCCTTATGTGACCAAGGTTTGGTGGATTATTGACCTCTTCTTTCTTACAGAAATAAAGAAACCGAGTTAGTGTTGTAGGCCACTTTGCTCACTTCTTTTCAGGTCTAACACAGACGAGGTTTTGTGGTAGACGTCCCAAAAAAACTGATTTTGTTGACCTGAATCCACTTTGTCATGAATTTGCTGGTATGTTGGTCATTGCTTATTTGAAACACCAACTTGTGATGTAACTTTAACTACTTCTCTGATATCCAGAGATGTTGCTTTAATGTAATTTTTCTGAAGTGTATCGGTTTCTCCTGCAGCAAAATAGCCCCACAGGATGATACGGCCACCTCCGTACTTCACAAGTGAGATGGTATTGTCAGGCTTGGAACTTCTCCAAACGTGGTCATTATAATGAAACGACTAAATTTTACTTTCATCAAACCACAAAACGTGGCCCCAGGTTCAATGCATTTCTCTCTGAGTGCATTTTTAAAAATAGTAATCTGTTTTGTTTTTGTTTTATGTTGCTTAGAGTATTGGTGTCTTTCTCTTTGTCTACCCTGCGGGATGAAAATCATACTCGACAGCTTCAATCAATATGACGTTAGCAAATAGTGATACTGTTATTACAGCTCGTAACGCGCAGAAACGGAGGAACAATCAGGTCAGATTAATTAGCTTTTTGTTCTAAAACTGACATGGTTGTGGTTTTATCAAGAACCTAACACATAGTTTGTGTTTCCCCTAAATCCCGTCCTTAACTCACCTTGTTTTCGCTTAGAGCAAAGCAGCGCAATCCACCTGTAGCAACTTCCTGTTGGAGATCTTCTCCACTCACCTGTTCTGCGTCCACGCCCACTTGATGTGAGACGTCTTTGTGTTAGGTGTGTAACTTCATCTCCACTGACTGAATCATGAGTAGGACTCAGTCAGGGCCAGTGCCTCCACACGTGATGCATGAATGCATTCATTTGTTGATCAAGGCAGTATCACCAGAAACAGTTTTTTTTTTTTTTTTCCCCATCAGGTTGAATTTGACTAAATAAGGAAATTAGAGCAGAATGGAGTTAAATTACTTTTATTTTTCATTGTATTGTCTATACTTTGTTTGAAAACCGCAAGAAGACTTCTGTACACACTGGGATTGGTGATAAAACTAACTTCTTTTTGATTGAATTAACTTCAAAAGTCCAAAGATTTGAGATTCACGCCAGAACCCGGACACAGAGCACGAGGTCAAGCGTCGTGCTAGTGAGTGTAATCACGTTACTCAAATCACTTCCGCATAGGGAAAGATCCCTTTCAATATAAATGTCACTATGACGTCATTTACTGTCTTATTCAAATGAACCAATTCTTAACAGATTTGTTTGCATATATTTACATGAATCAGCACCATAAAAACAGCTTGAGCTCTGCGTCTAACTGTGATGTCCTAAATCTGATAATGTGTTTTACAAATATAATTTGAGAGACCATCTTAATAATGATTTGTGGTCATTTCGAAGAGATTTTCTTAGTCTACCACACTGTCCCGGTGCCTCCTCATACCCATTCTCCACCATAATAAAGAAGTTTCCAAACAGTTTATAATATGGCCCATATAGGCAGTTGCCCAGGATGGAAAGGGGATGGTTGAGACTTAAAGACTTAAAAAAATTATTGCTCCTGATATGATAACATCAATGTCTTTGCAAGATCAGTTTTAAAACAAGATTTAAAACAGAAATCCAGCTAATTTTTATAAAAAAGGAGCCTGTGATTTGGTGCTAGATGCCTCGTGTACCTTACTAATTGCAGTTTTAAACCAGTAAAGAGAACACTAAGAGAATTAGATGCTCTCTCTCTCTCTCTCTCTCTCTCTCTCTCTCTCTCTCTCTCTCTCTCTCCTAAAAAGTCTACAAAAGACTATTTATTATGTCTATGGTTTTGGTCACTCTGAAATTAAAAATGTTTGCAGGTCCTTTAGGCAAACATTGCAGACTGGGTTTGGGCAATAGCAATGGCATCATAGGAGTTATTTTAATGGTTGGATGTTGAAATGCCTATATCACAGGGGCATGTTTTAATTTTTTGATTTTTGTGGAATTTAATTACTTGAAACCATTTAAAAACTATTATGTGACAAATACCTAAATCAGACTTCAGCTCCACTCCTTTCTTTTGTTTTGGTGAATTTCAGTGACTGTGTTAAATCTCCATGTGCAGTCTCAAATAGTTATTTTAACACTTAAGGTACTGCTTTTTCTATGGATGAAGACAACATTTATAGATCTATGAATGATGCATCATTTATTGCAAATAGCTTATGTGAACAACAAGAACTAAAAACATTTAAGTTTGCATCTAACTATCAGTGTAAACAGTTTGTGTAAGAGTAAAAGACAAAAGGGTATCCAAACCGGTTTTGTCCAAGGGGCCTACATCTTCCTAAATCCAGGCCTGGTGAATGTAAAATACTGACTTGTCAACCTCTGGGTAGCATTTTCGCTTATATTTGGTGAATACAGTGAGTACACAAAGTAAAATCAGCTCTTATTTTGTTTTCAAAACTTCTTTATTGTGTTCTAAATCTAATTACACCAACCTGTGAGTTTTTCCAACTTTATGCTATCACTAATACTAGCCGTCAGTTATTGATGCCAGTGACAAAACATTAAAGCTTTTATTTTGAAAGTTGAAGTCAACCATCGCCGGAAGAATTTGGCGTTACTCTCAGGCTCACGCTGCCACTACAACCGATGGAAATGGCGGTGACGGCCAGGCGAGCAGCGTGAAGTGCTGATGCATTACATGGATCAAAAAACCCCGACCGCTAGTATATTGTTTGACAACTGACAATGACGTCGAAGTAGAGCACCGCTTGTAGTTGTCATTACAAACTCATAAAACCTCCCCGGGGAAGTTTTCATCTCGTCGGCGGAGGAGTGAAAATCTCACCGGGAGCATGGCTTCTTCCAGCACTCAGGTAGCTAAGCTAGTTAGCTCAATTTAGCCAGTGCAACAACAACAACTCCAGATGGATTTAGTGTTTACCGTTATATAGAGGCTTACAAATGTATTCCGTTTGTATTAGATTCGGAACAAATGCTTTAAGAGAGGATATTATTTTTTTAGTTAGTTTGGTGTTGTCGTTTAAAACATTAAAGTAGTCGTGTCATTGAAATTGTTAGTACAGAAAAGTGCTTGCTAATGCCCCCCAAACCCCCTCCAGCCTCATTGAAACACAGGCAGCATGGTAACGCTGGCTAACAGGCCCCATGTTCCTCCATTCAAATGAGCCAGCGGTGGTCTTGGCTGCTACTGTAAAAGATATGACATCCATTTTTTAACCGAATGGGACACAAACGCATGTAATCTTAACATGGAGTTATTTTATTGTTAAATCGTCTAAGTGTCAGCAGTTATTTATTAAGAGAAAAGTGACCGAAAATTGCTGCGTGTTTGCATGGCCCACCTGCTCAGTAGTGACACGGGCCTTGTTCTGTGTTTTATTTTCTAATCATTCACACTTCATAAAATTTTATATATATATATATATATATATTTTACTTCAGTTAAACAGTCTTTTCGCATATTATGTTGCATGCCAGCGGTTGCTGTTTCTTTATCGTAAGCGTGATGAAACATTTTCGATCAGATTTAGCTGTTAGCTCGCTAACATATTTGCACAGGTGGTGTGCTGTCAGCTCCTTAGCTTAATGCTGTGCGACAGCGTGGGCTTCGCCTTCTCTGCTATTTATCCTAGAAGGAAATAAACTGAAACTAGATCAAACTTGTACGCATCTGTATGTGTTGCAAAGCAAACACTCTGCAAGTGATCTGTCTTAGTGACTTAGCAAGTTTGGAGATGTTACTGTGGAAGCTAGCCGTCATGTGAGAAGGCCCATTTTGAGGAATGCAGCCAGTTACTTGCAGAGTCTGAAGTTTGTATTCCTATTGAGTATTTTGTTATTCTGACAGCGATGTAAATTAAAAAGCTGAGTTTTTCTGTTGTATTTTCAACAATTGAGTAGCACATAAACTGAAGAAAAAAACTTCAGCGAAGGCTGAATTTGTGCATGCTTACATTTCTTTTCCTTCCCCCAAAACTAAGGCTTTCTATTGGATAACTGTTTAGTGAAGTGAAAGTTAAACTTAAAACTCTCCTTTCTGCTTTTGTGTATGTAGTTGCTCTGTAAAAGTATTTCCCAATCTTGCACACTCTGATACACACAGAATGCTAATTTTTTGCTTCATAGGAATGACATGGATTGCCTAACAGAAGTGTTTAAATGGTTAGTTTTAGACACCGAATATTAGCTATGTCATTCCCTCTAATTAATTGGCAACCACAAGTCTATAGTTTCATTGCTCTATTCAATTATTTGTATGCATAAATTAGGAGAAATATTTCTGACTAAGCGATTTGAAAACATCGCACATTTCTTTGTGAACAAATAAAAACAGTTAAAAGGTTACCTAAAACGAGATGCTGGAAGTTTGATAGTTTTAGCTTTGAAAGGGATTGTTGAGGATTTTATGGGTTTTGTGTGTGTGTGTGTGTGTGTGTGTTCTGTGAGGAAAAAGGTAAACACGTTCATTTTACAAGCAACCAAACAAGAGGCAGAACAAGATCTACTGCACCAGCAGCAAACAAGTCTCACACGCTTTTGGGATGAAACTTAGCAAACAGGTCATGCTGGAAAGTCTGAACAATAGATTTTACCTCCAGTTGGTTAAAGCAGATTTAGTTAAGCTTACTGCAATTTATGGATTGTCTTGCAAACAAGAGCTAGACAAAGGTTCAAAATCTTAATTATTCGTGACGGTCATTTAAGAGACGCTTTACAAGTTATGTTGAATAATATTTAGTTAAATTAGTTTTTGTTTTCTTTCTAAAATTGTCCCTAGTGGAAAAAGCCTAACATCTCATTACCTTTAAAGCTTATTGGTTTAGCTTTAGCTTGTAGACAGCTCAGCATTTACTCTCTCTGCAGCTGCGACATGTTGTGGTTTTGTGCTTCCTCACTTTAAAAACTATGGATTCCAAATAGGTGACATAGCTGTAGCTTATTTACATCAGCTAATCCACACATCGTAGCATTTGAATTAGTTTGTTTTTCTTTTAGATATTTTTTCCTTGATAACTCAGTGCATCATCAGTATGTTACCCAAAGCTAGTCACATTATGTGCAACACAAAATGAGCTTCAATTAATCATCTTCAACTCTGTCCTCAGATCTTTTTCAGAATAAGTTTTAAAGATTAGTTATGTTGTCTGAAAGGTAACCATTAGTTTTGTCTTAACAGATCAAAGTATTCACATTTTACACAATAGGTTTAAAAAATGTTGGGATCTTTTTAGTGTTTTTAATTTTAAAACCACAATTTTTTAAACACTTTTTCTCTAAATTAGTCTTTAAAGAAATAGTGGGCTTTTTTAATAGGTGCAAGCTTATTTAAAATCAAAGTTCTTCGTGTGTAGGTCACTTAGTTTAATCAGGAATATTTCACTGGCGAGATGAGACAATCGTGCGAAAAGCTCAGTCCGGTCAGTTCTGTAATAATTGTACTTGACAAACATTATCAGTGGTTGTGGATTAAATATTTGATGCATTATTGTTCTGTTATCACTCAAGTATTGCAGGTATCTGGTTGTTGGAGGAAAACATTTCAGTTCTATTCGAAGCAAGAAATTTATTTCCTACCAAAACTCTTTTTACCATCCTTCTGTTTTTTTTTTTAATGCCTGAACTTTGAAAACAGTTTCACCAAGTGTCAATTCATAGGAGAACTCAATAAAGTTTTCTGTACGTTACATCCTCCTACAAACTCATCGTTATTTGTGCTGCTAAAATGATAGAGATTGACATGTTGCCACAGTTTATGGCTCACTCACAGAAAGAAGCAAAGCAACATTCTTTCTGTTGTGAGCGAATGAGCCGTCGCGAGGCCTTTGGATTACAGCTGCCTGTTTGTCACTTGGACTGCCATTTCAGCAATGTGGGCCCTCGCGTGGGGGGCGTGTTTGCAAAGAGTTACATGTGCTTGAGCTGCACTTTCTTTTCTCTGTGCCTCCCCTTTTCACGTTTCACCGTTTATTGCTGTGGGAGGATTAAGGGCCTGTTTAGTGAGTTCATTTCACCTGTTTCCCCATGTCCTCTTGGTCATTTGAATGACCACAGTGTGTTGTTTCCTCTTAAAGTTATGGGGATTATCTGTGAAGGGATTAACACAAGTTAATAAAATGATTTGATTAAAATGTTCATGTTACAATAATAGAAAATGGTATAGTCAAAGGATTCTATTGGGTAGGCATTTTATTTTTCCTCTTAATCTGTAGCTTCCTAAAGCTTTATGCCTGAACTTTCAAAAGCTTTTTTAAATGTGTGTGTATATATATTTATTGTGCAATAATCTCAGTGCTTATCTCTCACCTTTAGTGGTTTGGATTCCATTTGCAGAAAACTGGTTGAATCTTGTGAATGTATTAACACAATTCTAAACTTATGCCAAAACTATTAAAATGTCAATCGTACTCTTCTGTTTCGTGTAGTTTGAAGTTGTTGGTCACAAAGTTTTCTCTGGTTGCACACACTAAAAAGTACTGCCCCTCCCCCACTTGTTGCTATGCACTTTCAGTCATCTGGAAGTATTTAAATTTAGAAAAATAGTCATAGTTTATAAATTAAGATGATTACCTTATCTCTTAATTAAGGTCACGCCTTTTTAAATCTGACGTTTACAAGCTGTAATTTTTTAATCATGCCAGCTACCCTAATAATGTCTGATGAATTAAGTAGCTAACATAAGCTAATATTGGAGCAAAACAGCAAAAAAAAAAAAAGTATATAATTTTAGAATTAAAACATACCTCTATATGTAAAACGGGTGTTCTGTTTTATTAATTTTAAGTAACAATATCAAAAATAGGTATTGTGCTTTTTAGTGTTTAATTTGGTTGCTTTTTACAGCAAATGGAATAATTGTTGCTTTTTTGTTTAAAAATAATTACCTCATATTATACCTTAATTATATAACCCAATTCAGTAACAACATGAAACCGAGATCATACAATGAAAATTTCACCTCAGCCTTTTCCTAATGTCATTGTTACTCAACTAGAAGAGTGGTTGTGTTGCAACATGTCCAGAGGTTAGTTTGTCTAAAGCATCAAATCTTCTTCGATTTGCTTGTTTGAACTGTTTTTCAAACAGGCACTTAAGTTGAAACATTATCTGCTTAAAGGTGCTTCACATTTCCCAATTTCACATGATTGAGAAATCCCTTGAAAATAGTCAGCAGTAAATCTGATTACCTACACCATCTTGTCTGTAATGTTATTGGTATTAAATACAGTGACAATGTTGATATGAACCAGAATAATATGGTCACCTAAGCTTATTTTTGTATATTTGTTTATTGGTTGATCCATGCTGGGGTGACTGTATGTCATATCTTTGTTATAATTTTTTTTTTTTGTGAGAATCTTTCTATAGTTGGTAAAAGTTAGCACACGTTGCTAAGTACCATGCAATTATTCTAGATGGCAAAAATCTATATTTAATTTACTGTAAATTTATGCTTTTATACACTGCATGTCCTAAAATACTGTTAAGATTCCTTTAAAGCTGAAGATTAAATGCTTAAACGCTATCACTTAATATCAGCTTATTCAACAGGACTTTATCTTGTGCATCCTGTAGTTGTGCCTGAATCATAACTGGGTTAAAGGTGCTTCTCAGTATTAGGGTAACCAATCTCCCATGCAAATGCTGAAAACCAACACATAATTTTTGTTATCCTTATCAATAGTGTCACAGCCAGTGGTTACTTTCAAGGTTTGTAAAGTAATTGGACTTGAATCTTGTGCGTTTCTGAGAATAGCACAAGTTTTTCATTTACAAGCAAGCAGCCCTGCCGTTATCTTAACTGACTGCTGATTCGTCTTGTAATTATTGACAGTGTGTTGCTGTTGTAAAGTATTTGGTGAGTTAGCCTTTGTTCAGTAGAACACATTTCGCGTCCGAAGAGATTTGTCTGAAAATTTTTCTGCCAGAAGTCAGTAAATTGACCAGGAGTCCCATCTTTCGCCTGTGTGAGAGACGAGTTTGTTCTGCCTGCGGCTCGTCTGGAGTCCGTTTGATGTGGGCTCATGGTTTATGTATAAGACTGTGACTCATCATTTTATGATTTGATTTAATGACTACAGGTTTTGCTGAATGACGACAGGCTTTGTAACAATCTAATCACCTGATATTAAGCAATAACAATTCAAGTGATTCCTAGTGACTAGGGCTGAAATTATCAGATGGTTTGCAAATTATTAGCAGTTTTCCTTGAACTGATATTTTAAACATCCCTCCTGTTCTGTTTTAAGAATTTAAGAAACTTTTTTTTTTTTTTTAATTAGTCAATTTAGATTTTTGTTACAAATATGTTTAGATAGCGGGATATAAATCTTAACTAATAGTTCTGTTGATTTTTCTTCCATAGTATATCTTTGGGGAGTTCAGCCCTGATGAGATCAATCAGTTTTTTGTGACTCCTCGATTTTATGTTGAGGTAAGAACAAATAACCTGTTTTAAATTAATGTTTAAATTGTGCACAGTTTTAAAATGAATACTATTTAATTGCAATAATATTGTAATAATTGCTGATGTTTTTAATTAGCATTTTCTGATCTGCTACTAGTTTTTTCTGTCATTTACAAAATATTCTTGAATTTCTTTGATTTTCTTTTAATTCACGTCTTTTTGTTTTACATTTTACAGCTTCCTCCATTCAATGACAAAGTTCAGTGTGTCAGTCAGTCTTCAGGTATGTACTTTTCATGTAATACTTGATGTTTATATATATTTTTCTTGGAAGTTGCAGGATCTAAATATTTACTCCGTAGTCAACAGTTTTCTTTCTTTTAGCTGAAATGTATGTTTTAAATTGTTTAAGATTGAAGCTCAGGCTTCATAATTTTTTTTTTTTCTTCCTGATTTTGTACATCCGATACTCATAGTCTGGAGTAGATTGTCAATAGTTCAATAATTTTTTAGCATAAACGGTTTATTTCTAGACATTTTAGGGACCACCAAATTAAAAATGTTACAGCAGCCACCTTTATTTCAGCGCTGACCATTTGCACATAACATTTGCCTCATCTTGATTTGTATTGATTATTTAGGAAGTTACTGCACTCCTGCTGTGCCATTTATTATGGAGTCTATGGGACTGCAGGTTTGCGGTGAGTTAAAAGGGCTCACACCCTGTGGCTTGACTGGTTGTTGTACGTTGTCTGTAAGAACTAAAAGTCCAGGTTTCAAAAACTGGTGGCTTTCTAAACTGTGCATCTTTATCCTTTCTCTTGCCTGTCGGTAAACTCTGTAGAGCTTTGCATGCTCAAGATACCTAAAGTATCTTCTGTTGCATTTAATGCATTTTTGCACCACCGCAGGGCTCCAGATTAACTGAAATAAAATTGAACTTTGATATGATTTAACAATCACAGCTTATTTACTAAGGGCATAGTGATGGTTTCTGGGGATGCTAACATTCGTCTCTAAAGGAATCCCTGAATTCAGTTTACTCTAATGAAGAATGATTCAACACTAACTGAATATCCTCTAATCCTTACAGAGAAGGTATCTGCTCTTTAATGCCCTCTTAACTCTTGCAAAAATATTAATGTATATTTAGTGACCTACAAGCTGATGAGTCACTTGAATGAGTTTCTGATTTGCTTTTACTAATTTTTCCTGTTTATATTCACCCTTGCACCTCTTGCTGCACAATGATTCTTATTTGCAGGAAAGTTGTTTGTGCATTATGTACAGTTACTTAAAAACTGTTTTACATTGCTGCTTGAGTTTGTGTTTGTGTTTGAAAATGCTGTTTAGAAGTATTTAAGGACTCAATGTACTTTTTAAATGAGCTATTTAAAAAAAAAAAAAAAATTCTTTCTGCAGCCAACAAGATAGATATTGAAAGAATTACTCCAGCATAATTTCACTGTGTTTAAATTAAGCAAACGATAAGGTCATTTAGTACCCATAATAACTTTTGTACGCAATTTTACAAGGGTTGCCACTAATTGACATGACACCAGCTCCGCCCCCATGCTGACTTAGAGTAATCCTACCCCAATCATTTCAGGGCACTTGTCAGCAACTGAACAATCAGCATTCTAATTGCAGTACTCCGACAATATTAACAGTATTTATCATAGAAAACACGCTGGAGTCAGAGAGATTTTGAGGAAAATAATAGATAATCATGGTCCCAGTTGTCAGTGGGTAATAAGCATTCCCAACAGCTTTTACCCAGAACGTGTAGAGGGCGGAATACAATTTATTATATTTCCAAAACCAAAAAGGAGTCTGGAGTAACGCAAGAAATGGATCATGGACTGCAGCCCACCTCATGTCCAGTTGAATGAAACTGATGGATGGAAACTACCAAGTTAGTCAGCACCACGAAGGTAACTGGTAGGAAACATCCCGGTTTTTGTCATAACGACACTTACTGATAGCTCCATGCTAACGACTCACGACTCCTTGCAAACGGCTCACAGCTGACGACTCACCGCTCCGTGCTGACGGCTGACGGCTAAGCATCAAAGAAACACAACACAGTTAAATTAAAACAACAATGCAATAATACAATAATCTACACTACATGCAAAGTGCGTCCCACTGTGTTCAAACTTGCATACAACCAGACTTTGTGTCCCTTATTTTTCCTCTGGGGCTTTATCGTTGATTTCGCTGTTATTTCCCACTAATAACCAGATAGACCTGACGTAGGACTAATTGGAGAATTCTCTTGCCTACCGTATTTGCCTCAGTGTTGGTTTATAAGACAAAAATGACTCAAAAAATGTCTCGGGTAACACATTGAGGTCCGTTAGTCTGCCATAATAACAGTTGGCTTGTTGGAGGACAGCTCTACTTCCGCAAGGGGCCGGGGCCGGGGCGGGGCATCATGTCAATTGTGGAGGGTACTGTATGTATGAAACATATCAGGGATCCACACGTAGATGAACATGTTAGCCCTAAATAGTGTGTAAGTTTCCTATTAACTTGAAAGTTGTTGTGATATGAAACATTTTATAATTACTTCAGAAATTGTATGTCTTTATTATACTTTTCACTTCCTGAGGTTGACAGGTTTTTTTTTTGTTTTGTTTTTTTTTACCTATCCAATGCATGCTGAGCCTTGGATGTTAGTAGGTTATAGAGGACTAGTCTATAAACAAAACACAAGAGTAGATAGAAATATCCATTTATTGTCCCACAGTAGGGAAATACCTGTAAACTCTAATGAGGGAGACCCTCCAAACCTCTGGATTTAGGCAAGCTGGTTTAAAGTTTTTATGTGTCGATATACAAGACATATCTGTTGAAACAAACAAAAATGTTTGGCTTGTGTTCCACCGTTTACTATGGTAGCTGGAGCCTGCATTAGCAAGAGCTAATGCAATATCAAAATAAACTGGAAGACAATAGATAGATGTTTAGAGTGACAGTGAAACATTTTAGTAGCAAGTCATTGTAGCACACCATTCTAATATATTTGAGATAGGGCTGGACAATATAGTTGAAAAACTTATGATATAAGTATTTCATATCAGTCTATCGATAATTATTTTTTTGTTTTTACTATCTGAAATGCTTCCAAACTGGTGCCATGACTTCTCCTGTTTTATCCACAGTTTTCACTCCATGCTGCCGTTTTATTTTTAAGCAGTTATGAGGCACAGTGGCAAAAATTTAAATTGCTGCTGTGTAAGTTACTCAACAAGTTGTTGCTAGGTAACCAAAGAGTGAGTGAGTTGCTAGGTAACCAAAGAGTGAGTGAGTTTGTTGATTCCACCAACCTGGATTAGCTGGTCGTGAGAGGTTGAGCAGCTAAAGACTTCAGTGAACATTTAAATATTGAATATTCTATCAGCTGTATTAAATAGCAATATGGAAAGTATATTTGACAAACTAATAATGGTGATTTGTATTCTTAATTGACATGTTTCCTGCAGCAGAAGACTATCAGCACATTGAGTTTGGGGTTGACGAGGTGATGGATTCCAAGCCGGTTAGAGCAAGCGACCCTTTATACAGGGTGTCGAGCAACCTCAACCCACAGGCCCCGGAGTTCATTCTGGGCTGCCAGGCGGCTCCGAAGGCTCAGCAGGCGGCCCCTCCAGTGGCTGACGTCCCTGACGGAAGCCACTTCAACTCGCTGGACGGGCCGGACTCTGAGGCGTCAGCCCTGGACAATCACCAGTCCTGCCAGGACATGGACGGACTCCCCGGCAGCCTGGGACAGCGAGAGAGAAAGAAAAAGAAAAAGCGGCCGCCTGGGTACTACAACTACCTGGACCCGTCAGCTGGTGAAAGCGCCAGCAGCGCTGTTGCAGCTGACGGTGCTCCGGTAACGGCGCTGGTGAATGGACACGCACTTGGGGGCTCACACCACAGTTCTGAGGATGTGAACAGTAAGGCATTGTCAGCAGATGAACTTTGCACCCCTGCACCTGCTTCCAATGCAACATCAACAGCATCTGTGTTTGCCCCCACATCCACTGCCAATCAGAGGACTTGTGATAGCCCTGAGGACTCTTCTTTAGACTTAACAGGTGGAGCTGCCTCTTTATCCGACGGTAACAATGCAACTTCCTCCTCTTCGTCCTCCTCTCAAAGCAGAGAGATGACAGAGGGATCAAGGACTGCAGATCAGCAGCTGGATCATTTGGCTCCACAAAGCCCTGAACTGTCAGACGCCCCACACAGCCCCCTCTCCAAATCCCCTCTTCCTCCCTCAGCTGTTGCGGCCGCCCCCTCGGCCTTGACTTCCACTACGACTACTGAACTAGAGGGAACTCGGGCAGCAGACACCGGAGTGGCCAATGGGCTAGAAGAGCCCAGTACTCTTGTCAGTTCAGATGGACACAAAGAAGACTGTGACAGTGGGGAGCAGGGCCAGCCTCTCAGCCCAGACTCTGTGACCCAGCCTTTAGTAACAGAGCAGGCGAACTCTCCTGCAGTTGCTGCTGCGCCCACTGCCCATCTTCCCAAATCCTGGGCTAGCCTGTTCCACAACTCAAAGCCTCTGCCTGGCAGCCCTCAGGCCTTTGTAGAGGTGAAAAATATTGTGGAAGCTGCTTCCCCCTCCCCTGCAATGCCAGAGCAACCTGAGAAGGTTGGGGAGATTAAGGAAGGTCCTGTCCATGTATCGGAGGATCCAATGGCTCCAAAACTTGCAGGTATTTTGTGCAAGGAAAAAAAATAGAGAGAGGAAAAAAAAAAACAGTTCTCATATTGTTCCATATTCTTTATCTTAATATTATGCATATTTGTTACAGTCCAGTTCTTCCCTAGCTCCTTTGAAACAATGTAAAATATGACTGTAGATGAGGATACTAACTGGTTTCTCTCAAAATCTGCGTTTTAATTTAAATCTGAGGTGAAATTACTATGCCACAACTAAAGAAACGAACACTAGATGGCAGCACTGTCAGCTACATGTTTTTTGGATAAGTCATGAGTTATATTTGTAACCCAGTTTGGACGTTAGAAGTAGGTCAGGAGTGCCTTCTGGGCCTCACCCTGTGAGCATAGGAAAGCTTCCACACTGCTTTGGCAAAAGTCGATAAATTCTCAGTGGTCTGGTAGCGTTTTGTCCTATTATCTCAAACACTTCTTTTTAAACCATTTGTCTCTGTGGCCTTTATTATAGCACTAAACTATAGATTAGTTTCAGGTTCTTTAAATGCAACTGGATGTGATTAATGGGTAATTAAAAATAATTTCTGAAACAATATCAATATTTCTTTATGGCCAGTGGCTGATATTTACCAATATTTATACTATTTGTATTTTCCTACCTTTTTAACACTTTAAAAATACAACCACAATGCTGAAATTGCTTCTTTGCTTCAGTTAAACTTTCCATAATCATGCATGGCTTCACTACCAGTCACACACAGGGCCAACCCCCTCCTGAAACATAAACAGCAGCAAGGTGGACACAAAAAATCGATTACCAACATCGGCCCATATCAATAAAGATTTGTTAAAGAATAACTTAACATTGGTCAATACAGAAGCTGATGCCAGTATTTTGTGGATCTCTTGTAGCAAAGTAATGTGGTCTGTAGTAAGCTTTATTGATCCAAATAGGAATGTTTGCTTTGCAGACAACAATCCAGTGCACTTAATAGAAAGACATTTAATGACACTGTTCTTAAAATAGAAATAAATGAACTTTGAACATGAATACACTTTTACTTATAAAGGTATTTAAGGGAAACGTAACCTCGGGCCTTACACGGCCAGCTGAATCTTCACATTTTAAGAATGCTGAGCATTTGGATTGAGTTATAGTGACTCAACGGCGATTCTCTTCAAATTACAAGTGTTGCAAGTTGCACATGATTTGATTTCAGTTCCTTTTTAATTGCAGAGCTTATAAAATGGCAAATCTTCGATAAAAAGATTGTTCTTATTAGAACTGAAGTGTAAACTCTGTACAAATATTTCCAACTCTACCAATCTAAGGAAAAATATTTTGTACCGCTTTCAATGCTATGGACTTTTTTAAATTTTTTTTATAAGATTTTCTCTAATGAAAGTCAATTATAAGTGATTGCAGTATGAAAATATCTACATTGTCTTAATTAATTCTAAACTAATAATGGGGAACTGAGCTGTCATCTAGTCATTTTTGGAACACAGAGTTGATATTGTTGAAGTTTGTCCCTTGAATTTAGTTGAGCAGGTATCTGGAGAAACTCACTCTAGCAGTGCAGACAAAGATCTGGTCAGTGCAAATATATTTTTGCAACACTTCTGTTAAATGTCTCTCTTGTTGAAGAACAACCAGAGTCTGGATGTTAGGTTGCAATAGGGTCTGATTAATCGCTGGAGCGACATAACTACAACAGAGATTTTGAGTGTCCAAGAGCTCCTACTTATAGTAACATGTTTAACATGGAAATGTTTTGTATTGCCATCTCATCTTTTTATTCATGCAGAGTGGGATTATCTTTGCTTTGCAGTCATCGGTCTACAGCAAAGCATTTTAAAACACTGGAGACATGTGTTGCATAAGGTCGATCATGAGTTCTTGTTGTTTTGTTTTTTGCAGGCATGTTGTTGCCGCTAATGGGATTATAGGCAGCTGGAACCCCTTGCATAAAGTTTGCTTTAGTGTGTTCGTTTTTATTACTTTGTCTTTTTGTGTTTTCTTTTTTTTTTTTTTTTTTTTTTTTTACTCTGGGGGGAAAGCAAATCTGGTTGTAATTCACCAACATGTAACCACAGACCAGCTGTTTGTAGACTCGACACAGCTGGTTTAAATGTTACATAAATTCACAATTTAGTTTTCTCAGCACAGACTGCAACTTCAGGATGATTCAGCAGAAATTAGAAGACATGAATTACTCCACTTTAGGATATAATTAGATTCACTTTGCCAGTGTGTAGAGCTTAAGTTATAACAGATTAATTGTAGATATGCACAATATATTAGCACTGGTATCAATCCAATTTAACATGTCTGTATTTGTCCCAAAAGTACAACAGGGGTGAAATTATTAACTCATGTTTTATTTCCATCTTGTTGCTATGTGCGTTTTGGGAGGAGGAAGGGATTGTGGGGTGTCTTAATTGAAGCAGAGAAGCAAAGTCGACTTTGTGGTTTCTTGATTCTGTCAAAATGGGATGGAAATGCATTCGTGTAATATCAGGAAATGTTGGTTATCAGGTACAACAACATTTCTAGATGGTGAGATCTGCCCAAACTTTCATATCAGGGCATCCCTAATTAATGAAGCTACTTACATGGGTCAGTTTAAAATCGGTCATCTATCCCAAAATGTTTCTAATACTGTGCAGCCCTAAAGTAAATACTTATAAAGCACAGTATCAAAGTTTTACAGTCTAGAACAGATGTCTGATATTTTAACAATCCAAAGAGAGCCGCAAATGTTAAACTAAGTTTTAAAAAGACAGCTTTCTTTTTTTGATAATTATCTTACTACATGAAATTTCATGTAATTTTGAAAGATATAACTAAAAAAAAAACTTATGACAAAAAAATAGATTTAAAAAAGCATAACTGGTACTTTGTCATCTGTTGTAGATGTTCAATGCAATTCCATTGAAAAACTGGGGAAACTACTAAGATATGCATTTGTTAATATATTTATTTTGGAAAAACACAAATTATTTTTTAGCCAGAATTTTAGAGATCCCGCTTGCAGACCCTGATTTAGAAAATAGTTAGTTTTTCCCTTTTTATATATGCTGTCTGATGCGTTTACTGCTAATTTCACCTAAACCGTTGCTGATTTTAGTTTGTACATTTGTTGTAAAATCCATCCACGTTACCATGGAGGCTGTGTTTTTTTTCAATGACAGTCCTCCTTCCTAGGCGTGGTACAGAAAACTCTTGCTCTTATTCAGATGGTCTCTGCTGATGCTGTCGCCGGAGCCGGGAATAAGAAAGGAAACATTTGTTTACAAATGAAAATATTATTCCAGTGAAGTATGATGTAATTCCAAGTTTACCCCATGGTCTGATAACATGACGTTGAATGTTTTAGGTTGGTTGTAGTTTTCTGAAACTGCTTGATGACAAATATTGTCTCTGTTTGAATCCCCAGAAATTATTGAGAATGTGAAGTTGATACATAAACCAGTGTCTTTGCAGCCGAGGGGGCTGATCAACAAGGGGAACTGGTGCTATATCAATGCCGTATCCTTTCTCTACTTTTTTTTAATTATTTTTTTTAATGTCCCTAGTTTTCTATTAGCAGCATTTTTTTCTGCTTCTTGCTCTTCAGTCTGTTCATCTCCCTGACTCTGAGCTCTCAGACCCTTCAGGCCCTGATCGCCTGCCCGCCCATGTATCACCTGATGAAGTCCATTCCTCTGCACAGTGAAACACAGAGAACATGCACCTCCACACCCATGATAGACAACTTGTAAGACCATCTTCTGCAAATTGAGTTTTTTTGTGGTTTGTAAATGTCATCTTCTTTGAAGTCTCATTGTTTTTTGTTTTTCTCTGACAGTGTTAGGCTGGTGAATGAGTTCAACAACATGCCTGTGCCATCGAAAACCAAACAGCAAAGTAAGATTTTAGTCAGTGCAAATGTAATGTTTGTATCATTTTGCATTAAGTATCGCTGATGTGTTTTTTTCCCTCTATTCGGTGTATTTACAGCTGTTGGTGATAAGGTTGTAAAAGATATTCGACCTGGTGTACCTTTTGAGCCAACGTACATCTACAAACTCCTGACTCTCATCAAGTCAAGCCTCTCTGAGAAGGTGAGATAAGATGGATTTGGCTCTGCTGCATATTTACTGCGAAGCAATGTCAAAGTTTGATTTTTAATTATTGCATTTGGTCTGGAACAGGCAGTACTTAAGGTGTTCTGTTGCAGAGACGCAGTTTCTTGTAATTGGAAAAATAGAGAGTCTTCATTACACAAGCTGACTCAAAAGCAGGGCGTCACAGATTGCTCATCTTTTGATGTTTAACGACTATGTCCACCTCCTATCCGTTTACCTCAATAAATTAGTGTGCGCACATTGTGGTTTTCATTATTTGAAATTTGTCAGCAGGTATTTTCAGTGGCTTTTTTTTTTCTTTTTAATTAATGATGGAGTCCTTCATTTCCTTTTAATTTTTAAGGGCCGACAAGAGGATGCGGAGGAGTATCTCGGTTTTACCCTCAACGGACTCCACGAGGAGATGCTGGCATTGAAAAAGCTAATCTTGCCTCAGGAAGAGAGTAAGCAACTTTTGGAGCCTAACTTTTGAAGTTGGATCACAAACTTGGAGAATTTAAACAGTTTTGGTTTATTGACCTCATTCTTGAAACGTCAGTACCAGTTTGAGTGTCCAGCTGAAAGCTGTATAACTGATCAGTTAGTTTGATGGTGTATTTAAAAAAAAAAAAAAAAAAAAGCAAAACAGGATTCAGATAAATTATTTGTTTGTAACTTGATTGTGTTCTAGCTACAAAATACAGGGTTTCCCCCAGAAAACTTGCTAAGCCCGGTGGTCGGGGCGTCGAGTCGGTCCACCAGTGGTCAACCGTGTTTTGTATTAAAAGATGTTAAGTTGACAGGAAATGTAAAAGTATTACTGTGTAATTATGTTACAGGAAAAGATCTCGAGTGAAATGCCATTTAAACCCACAACTAGTCTAAAAACAACAAATTTGCACTTCTGTTTAATCCAAATTAAGTCAGCAGCTCCATCAGGCCCCCCAAGAGCTTCAAGGGCCCCATAAACACTAATATTTTAAAACAGACCACAGATACATAAATGTTTATTGAGATTATCAATGCTGTTAAATTTTATTCAATTATTTAGGCATAGATAAATGAAATGATTTTAAATTGTTTAACATTTAAATACAAGATTTTAAGGAGCTGGCAAGGAGCTTTGTAAAACTTCAAAGAACAATATTCATAGTTAGATTTTTTTGTTATTATAGCAACAATCTGATGCTGTGAGTTTAATCTTTGAATTTACAAATCCAATTTAGAAAAATGTGATTATAACATTACTTTTTAGGCTGGCCAATTAAACTACTCCCTTCTCCCATATTTCACTAAATCTAACACAGAAGCTGTTAGAG